ACTGAGTTGAATGCCTTATTTTTTGATTTATATAAAAGATTTATCTTATTTTTTGACTTTCTAAATAATATTAATTATACACTAACTTAAAATAAAGGAAATCCATTAAGTTGTGTAATTTTTCTATTTTCTATTCTTCAACATTCTGGAACTTTATAATTTTGGCTGTCAAGAAAAGCAGCTTCTCTTTTTAATGGGGAAAGCCATAACCTATGCGTAAGCATTATTTAAATTAAAGCCCATCAAGGAACATGGCTAATTTATTTTCTGTAGTTCTGCAACTCCCTGACAGAGATCAACTGACATCTAAACCTCATGAAAGCCAGGGAACACTGAATTTCACTAAATATATATTTTAAAGCAGCCTCAGCTTCCATCTTGCTTGAATTATTAGAATTTAACTTGGGGAGGATCTAGCACTACATCTACAAAAATGACAAATATTTGATATTCATATTTTTCTGAGTTCAACAGCAGCAATTCAGCAGAACATGGTAATGCAGCCCAGTAACCCATGCTTTATTTTCTCCATCTATTAAAGGCAGGATATGAAATACTGATATTTTCTCATAATGTTCTTCCTTCGCTCCTTCTTACACATTTATAACCAGGCTGAAGGATCATTTTGCAGTTTAAGTGCATTACACAGATATATGAGTTTCCTCCATATACCAGACTTCCTGCACAGTTCTGAGCAAACCAAAGCTCTCATTCTGCCCCTGCAAAACAAGGAGATTATTCTCATCCCTCACAGTGACGTTGGCAGTGATACTGGAGCTTGTTACGTGCTCTCAGGTCCTTCCAGCTTTGTAGAATTGCAATGGTCACTGTCCTTTCCATCTTACTTCAGGCACCACACAGGTATAATCTGCATGTGGCACCCAGGCAATGCAAAGAAAAGAACTTTTAGGGAGGTTCCACTTAGGCCTTCTGTAAGTGTGTTTCTCACCACAATCTGTGAAAGGACCCGGAGGAACCACACACCTCTATTAAGCCATTTAATTATGTACATGAGAGTAGATTGTTTCCTAAGTATTGCCAAGTACTGCCATTCTCAATCTACGGGGAACATTGACCCAAACTGTTCTGGGGGACCTAAGCAGACCCAAGAAGAAAATGAGCACAAAATAAAGCAGCAATGGCACTTTCAATGCTATTCACACTTCTCTCTCATGAACACAATGCTGTGGGCATTGCAAAAATAAATCCCAAGAGATACTTTGCTAAGTGAACAGTCATCAAAAACTAAGTACTAACATAAACTTTTCTGTAAAACTCCTTGCTTGGACTACAGTGATTAATTAGAAGATGTATCCACACAACAGTGTTATGGGATTTATAATGAGCAGCACAAACTATGAATGCAACAGTTCTTAACTACCCAAAAGTATTATTTCCACAAATTCGTAAGTAATTTAAACACAGCAGCATTTCTTGTTCCTCACTATGACTCTTGAAGTGTGTGCATGACCAATTTGGAGAGCACACTAATTATGGAGTATCTTAAATTGCAACTTTGATTGCAAAATTTTGTTAGTCCACCTACCTCATTTCTCACTCTGTAACCAACACTTCTATATAAATTATGCATAAAACAACTGCTAAATTTTAATCATCATGTTAGTAACTAAATTCTCATAACACATTTGACACCTTTAGAAAAAATACAGCTCTAATGCTCTCTAGTATATTTTGAGCTTATATCATCACACTACCAACTCTGTAGGTTTATATAATTTAGGGTTGGTTTGATCAGCCACGACAAAAGCAAGCATAGATAAGGTGACCAGGGACATTAAAGTGTGAAAATACTGTTGCTATGAAGCAAGAACAAAGAGTATTTTGAATTTTCTTTAAAAGCCCAGGCATCCTACACAGCTAAGCTTGTGCCTAAGGGCCTGTTAAAATGATCCACTATCGCTCCTCTCATCAGTGAATCTCACCTTTCCCTCCTAACGTTAGTGGAGCTCTGACAGGTATCACAGAAGGCATTTCATCACAGTTCAGAGACTATGCTTTCCTTAAATCTTTTTACCACCACTGGTAAGCTGTCCAGCTTGATCACATAACCCCTAGAGCACAGTCCAAATTATGCTGTCCAGAACATCATTCTTCCAACATGCCTTTCAGTAGATTTTTCAGTCCCCAACAGAGATTACTTTTGTTGGGGTGTTTGTTTATTTAACTCAGCAACAACAGTGCAAGCAGAAAAGTTTTCTAACCAAAAAGGCACTGCACTGTGAAGATAAACTGCAGCTCTGCAAGGCACACTGCAAAGAACATGCTGCTATCACACTTCACACACAAAGGAGTTCCCATTTAATCATCACAACCACAAGGTACAAAGTTCCAGCCACATCCACAGTAATTTTCACCAGTCTTAAACCTCTGCAATTTTCATTACATCTTTGAAAAGTCCTACCAAAAGCCTCCCTGGATAGGCAAAATATAACAGGTTGCCCTTAATTCTCAGAAAACCTGGACATTCATCATCTTTTCCCTCTTCTATGATTCCACGTGATATTTCAAGATCCTTACCGTGAAAACAGTTTCAGCAACTGATCAGCAGTTCACAAGCAAGAGATGTGTCAACAGGTAACGTGAATTAGCACTGAAGTTGTAGACAGAGGGAAACAGCTGCAGTTTTAGCTATAACTGACTGATTTAACTCCCCTCACCTGTTTGTCACCTCCCCTAAGGTAGAGGTCCCTGACTTATCAGCAAAGTTGGGAGAAGAGAATTTGAGTGACCCTCAGCCTTTTTAGCTTGAAATTCAGGGGTCTCCCTCAGCCTTCTGCCTCTGGTTGTTTGGCTGTCACTGGACTTCAGTCAAGTGAGTGTAGATCACTCCAAGATCGTGTTCTCTCTCCCTTGCTACCCCTTTGCAACTTTTGGCAGGTCAGTGAACCCTTGAAGTGCTGCAGCTCTTTGCTAAATGAGCTACAGATGAGGAAAGTCAAGGTTTTGTCACAGTGTGCCTCAGCAGACATCAGGCCACTGTTTTAGACATGTGTTGATGCTGGTACCTCGCTGGCACGGCCCTTTGGCAGCTGTGTGACCCATCAAGATTGCGTGGCCAGCGCTGCTGAGGGAACGTCTCACACTGGCCTTGGCCATGCAAGGAAAAATGGAAACAACAAACAGATACAGGGAGTTGTAGTTCCCATTCTCCACAAATAACAAGAGCAACAGCCCACAGTCATGCCACTGCTGGAATTTCATCAGAGGAAACTCAGTTTCAAAGAAAATAAAACACTAAGGTTGTCTGGAATGGGGTAAAAAGCAATGGCAGAATTCCACAGCCCCCACACTGTACAGCAAAACATGCAGTCAAAAATAGAGCTTCATTATAAACACACTCATCATAACAGCCTTTTAAATTACAAACCTTAATCACTGTGAGAGACACAGCTGTTCTACGTGAGACTGGGCTGGGAAATATCTTGCTTAAAGCCATAGTTTTCTCCTAATAAAAATGCTCATTTTAACACCAAAACTTCATTGGAGAGAATTTTTTTTATTATTAACTGCGAAAGAAGCTCTGTGTTTCTTTCTGTGGACAACAAAGCAGCCTCCACTCCTGCTCTCAATCGAGATAAAAAGGCAAATAATTCCAGTTTATTTCGGTATTGTCTTCCAAAATCAGGAAGAAATGCCAAATGCAGAGCAGGACTAATCAGCAATCAAGAATGCAGGAAGGTTGGCCAACTATTTACAGAGCAAGCAATACACTCCCAGGACCAAGGCAAACTTGCCCAGATTTCACGCATTGTTTTTCGTTGTTTTGGTTTTTTTTTTTTTCTTGTAAAGATCTTGGGGGAAAAGTGTCACTCAGCTGACACCTTTCTCCTTAATAATATTTTTCAATGAGTCCTCCTATCTATTACTCGTGGACTTCCAAGCTAACTTAAGCACAATTTAGAACCCAGCCTGCCCTGCAGAGCCTGGCCATTCATAAAATTAGCGCTTTTCTATACTATAATGCAGCTGAAACCTCTATAAACTTTTCCTTGTATTAAAAAAACCCATTTATAATTAGATATTCATTTGATACAACTCAATTCTTATAAACTTCAGTTTGTGGATGGCTTACATCAGAAGCCATAAGATATTTTAAGTAGTGTTTTCACACAGATCTGTGATACATATGCATTCTCACTCAAACACCTCATACTATTTAGACTGAAAATATTGAACAGAAATAAACGGAAGCCCAAACTAGGGCATGCTTCAAAATATTTTTTGTAACTGAACTGCATAGCAAAGGCTTCACTGCCATCTGGCTGCACTTAAAAAATGCAACATAGCAAGGAGACAATCACATACACTTAGATCTAAAAAAAAACAAAACAAACCAAAAAAAACCACAAATAAAAGTGTACAAAATTTAAGAGTAGCAAAGAGAACTCCAACACTCTGCAGCTATTTTGCAGAGACAAATACCTCCGTCGAGGACAGCTTTGAAACTATGAATCCAATGGATAAGAGTTCTGTCAGCCCACATCACACAGTGCTATGGGGGAATTAAGAAATTCCCTAGTCCTATATAATATATATATAATAGGGAGAGATAAATAGATAGATATAGATACAAAGATAAAGACAGGAAAAATAGAGGGGGAAAGTACATCATAGATGGGATGGCAAAAGAGGGCAGTGAGTATGAAAATCAAAGACGGTGAAATTATTGGTGGTTTTCAATGACAGAAGAACAAAAACAGAACAACAGGAGGGGCCGAGCACTGATAGATTTTCCTATCTACAGCATCGACAAGGGTTGTTTCCCTTTCATAAAGCAAACGCTTCTGTCCTGGCCCTGACCGTTCCTGAAGGAGGAGTCTGCTCCTCCCTCTATCCTGTGCATCCCGCTCTACCTGAATGTGCTTTAAGGGCAGGATTACCCTGGAGAATCTCCAGATGCCCCTTCCAGCCCCGCCCGCCCGTGCAGCCGCCATCGCGTCCCCCCGGCAACGCCGCCCGCGCCGCGGGGTCCGCCCGCCCGCCCAGCGGCACCGCCAGCGCCGCTCCCGCCCCGCGCCGCGGGCCGGGCCGCCGCCAGAGGGGCTGCGCTGGCAGGTACGGCCCGGCCGAGAGGAGAACGGGGCTCTGCCGCCTCCGCCCGCGGCCCACGGGGGGTGCGGACCGCGGCGGGCAGCGCCGGGCTGGCGGGCGGCGCTCCACACACGGCAGCGGCGCGATGCTGGGCCGGCTCCTCGGGCGGCTCCTGCAGCCCCGCGGGCGCTGTAAGGGGGGCGGAGGGGAGCGCCCGCTGCCCGGCCCTGGCGGGGATTGCGGGGAGCACACCCTGCCCGGCCCTGGCGGGGACTGCGGGGAGCGCACCCTGCCCGGCCCTGGCGGGGACTGCGGGGAGCGCACCCTGCCCGGCCCTGGGGACGTGAGGGGAGCGCCCGCTGAGCGCGCGCTGCGGGCCGGGCGGGCAGAGCCGCGCGCGGGACCCTCCGCGCGGGCTCGGGGCGCACGGGAGGAGCTGGACGAGGCCATTCTCACAGGGAGGGGAGGTGGGGGTGCGACTGGGGGTGCGCCGCGCACGGAACAGCCGCGGACGGGCCGGTTCTCCCCCCTGTCCCCGCCCGCAGTGGGCCGTGCCGCGTTTTGGCGGGCTCTGTCAGTCCCCTCACGGCGTCTCCCCGTCCCCCAGCCATGCCCGCCTCCGAGGCCGTGCCGCAGCCGTCCTCCAGCAAGAGGCAGAAGTGCTCGGGGCCCGGCGAGCACAGCACTCGGCTCCGCTTCACCAAGCTGTCCGAGAATGCCTTCACACCCTCCAGGGGCTCCGCGCGGGCTGCGGGCTACGATCTGTACAGGTGAGGGTGAGGGTGCCGCATCCGGGGGTGGCGGTCTGGGGGTACCGCACCCGGGCGATGGCGATGCCGCCCCACTCGGCGAGACCTGGGCGCGGGGCTCCGGCGACTGAGAGGGTCACAGGGGCCTCTTGCTAAGCGGAGCCTCCGGGGGGCTCGCCGGCCCTGCAGGAGAGGAGGTCAGAGCTGCCCTGGTCGTTCTCTCCCTTGCTCCTCCATCCCTGGCCCTTCATCTCAAGGTGTCTGTGGTCCAGCCCTGCTCCATCACTGATTTCATCAGAGGGCGATGCAGTCGTTGGCCAAAAGCCAGGCTGGACACATCATCAAGAATTGCTGTTGGTACCAGCATTGGGGCCTCACTATTGAAACAAAAAAAGTGGTAGTGCACGCGGGCCCTCCTTGCCAGCGCTTGTGCTTTTCTGCTTCCCTCTTGGCTGCTGGGTGCGGCCAAGGAAGTGGTGCCAGTTTGATAATGCTCTTAGCTGGAAACCATGTGAGTTAATATACAGACCTCGGTTTTGGTGAATTTATAACCACTGTTCAATGGTTTTGGCTATGTTCAGGAATCTGTAAAAATTTTTGTGTAAGTTCCATTTTATAAATTCCCAACCAGAATAATTCTGGTAATTTTTTACCTTAAATTATAGAGAAGAAAATTTTAAAAATATTCTCTATAAACGAGTGTTTCTTTCTTTAATGTAGTGCCTATGACTGTGTGATACCACCCATGGAAAAGGCTGTAGTGAAAACAGACATTCAAATAGCACTTCCTTCTGGGTGCTATGGCCGAGTAGGTAAGTAAAGAAGCTATAAAAAGGCTGCAGAGTCATTCTAGGACAGGTTTGACACCATCTTCAGCTTTCAGAATTAGTCTACACAAAAAAAGAGCTGCCACGTGGCTGTGTGATTTATTAGGCCTTCTTACAGACATTTCTTGTCAAACACATTTGAAGTTTGGTGTATGGCAGGTAACAAAAAGATGATTAGCAAAAAAGGTCATAATCTACATGCAACTTTAGAGGCTCTGCAATAGATCATTATTTCTTCAGAATTTGAATCACAAAGACCAATAGATAATGAACATACAGCAAATACATCCCTGGATGTTTAAAAATTAACCCCAAAGTAAGAATACTAGTGAAGCAGAATTTGACTTCTTTTTGTGACAGAATACTTGAGAGAACCTGAGGAGATATTCTGTTTATTTTGTGCATTCTTTTTATGAATTATGTATGAATTCATCAGGTAAAAAAGCAATAGCTACTCCAGTGGAAGAGCATGATCAGAGTTTGCCACGTCCTTTTATTTGAAAGGAACACATGTGTGCCTTTCTCTTATCCCACTGAAAATTTTGAAGAGTGTCATCAAAGTAGGCTAAGGAAAGTAAAACCCCAAACCCCTGCACATAATTCATCTGTGTAAAATAGTGCTTAGTAAATTGCTTGCCAAATACTGTTTTCCATCATAACTTAAATGGATTGGCCTCGTAGTCTTTTGAGATTATGCCAAACCAGTGGTAGTCACCAAAAATAAGCCAAGATTGGACAGTCTTTGTCTGTTCCTGTTGCCTTCCTTGGAGAAACCTACTCTGCAATTGTTGGCTTAAATAAAGATATGCTTATATCACTTAAAATTGCAATTTTACTGTAGCCTGTAGCAGCTGTCATTTTGTTTAATATATATATATATAAACTCTAACAGTAATTCCTGTAAAATCAGGTTTGTTTTAGACTGTGGAAGCAATTCTTGTTGCCATAACTATGCAAACACTCTACATAACCTATAAATACTGTCTTTGAAAAGATAAATTATTACACTTAAAAAAATTTCTTCTTTTCTAGCACCACGTTCTGGTTTAGCTGCAAAGCACTTCATAGATGTTGGTGGTAAGACTTCTGTTATTTTTGTTAAGACTTTGTAAATATGGATCACAGAAGTTCCTTAATTTCACAAATAAGTAATGCTCCATGGGTAGTCTGGCAAAAGGAGATGACTGGGTAACACCTCAGAGAGCCAGTGCAACATAATTATTTTTAAACTTGCTGAATGATAAAGTTATTACTGATTTTTTAGAACAGTTACATTATCATACTTCTGTAGGCAATGCCTGCTATAGGAGTTATTTTTTGGTTTAGGTGTTAAAGATGACTTTTTATATACTGGTTTCTCCATTTTGACTAAACATCTCTATGTGGTTCTTTTCAGTCTAGTGTAAGATCTGACTGAATTAAATCAGTAACATACAAATGGTCTTTTACACAGAGAATGTAGAGCAATGATACTGAAAAGGGATAATAGAAAGCACTGGAATAATGTTTTTGCTTCTGAAAAATGTACATACACAGCACTCCTATGTTTTGTTCACTTTTGACAGAGCTCTGTGGTTGGGTTCCCTTTAAGCACTTGTGTATAAGTTAAATAGCAGCAAGTTAACTTGGGAACTAGTGCAGAGATTGTACAGTAACTATTATGGATCATAGGGACTGCAGTTTTTTCACACAGATGAAGAAATTAATTAAAAAAACAGTTTGCTATTCTTAGGGGTGCATCCTGTGGTTCAATATTAAAACTCCAAGGTATAATACAATTTCCTGTGGTGTTTATAATCTCCAAGGGTTGTACTTTCTATAAATCTGGAAATGGCTTGGAATGCCACGTATTTTAATATTTGCATTTTTTCTGTAAGCAGACTTCAAAATACATACTTGGGAGGCCCAAACTCCAGGTTTCCTACTGGAAATGTTTTATCTGAGAGAAAAACTCCAAAGAAGCAGAATATAATTATATTAATGTGCATTGGTAGATAATCTTCTGAACTACGTAGTTAATACAGTTATACAAAATATAAGAGCAAGCTAGTTTTCAGTCTTGATACTTCAGTATAGCTGAATGACAATCAGTTTCTTAAAGCTCCAGTTCTGTTACCCTGCCAGAGGTATAGGATTTGGATCTCTGCAAATCCATAGCTCTCAGAGGAAATGTTAAAGTTAACAACAGATTTCTGCTTGACACTCAAGGAGCTGAAGTTAGCAGAACAAATGGAGCCTGAAGCTGGTCCAGCTGTCTTGATTTCAGATGGGATATTACAACTAAAATTAGTAGTACAGTGGTAAAACACTTCCTGACGTGTGATGGTGTTTTTCAGTTCTTTTTGCAAGACTGATTAGCATTTTTAGAGTCTCAGTATTTGCATATGTATTGTTTAGTTGTGCATGAGCAGTATAAAGGATGTGTCAGTATGAGATACTGCTATGAGTTATTAATCTAAACATTATCTAATCTAGTGATCTGATATACTGACATTTATTAACTGGATATCCCTCTGAATTCTTTCTCCTGACAGCTGGTGTTATTGATGAGGATTACAGGGGAAATGTTGGTGTAGTACTCTTCAACTTTGGCAAGGAGACTTTTGAAGGTAATTGTTGAGCTTGGCAGAGCCTGCTTTCAGCCATCTGACTGGGAATGAGAAATTAACCTTTTCTTTAAAAGTTAATGGAGAGTTAGAGTTAGCTAAGAACATTTTTCTTCTTTCAATTAATAAAAACATATATACTTAATTTAGTCCTGTCAAGGGAATACAAAAAGATTCCACTCATAGCAAATTAAGCAGCATGCAAAAAAACCCAGCCCCCAAAACACCCCCCCACCACAAAACCAAACCAAATAAACACCTATTTAGCTAAGCTTTAGATTCTCAATCTGTCCTGAAGTGCAGATTGTTTTAAGTTTCTCTGGAAAAAAGAAAATTCAGCTGAGCAGTATTTGGGATAAAAACTTCTCCAGGATGCTGGGAAACTAATAAAGATAGGAATTTTCCTTGTTCATGCCGTCTCTCTGGAAGCAGTCAGTTTTAGGCCTCAGTGCCCAGTTAAAATATTGCCCCTTCTGCCTCTTCACAGCACAAGCTTCTTAGGGGAGTTCTATGAACCAGGTTGGGTACTAGTGAGAAACCCTGTTTTCCTTTTATCAGTTCAGCTTTTTCCTCCCAAATTCCTGGGCCTAGTTCACAAAAGGAACCACCTTATACATAGAGCTGTCTCTCCATCTCTGCACTACGTGTGCAGAGTGACACTTAAGATGCCACAGGATGGCAGCAGGAATGAATGGAAGTGCCTTGAGCTGGTCCAGCTGCTGATACTTCACCTTAAAAGGACTAAGCACAATTTTATCTTTACCTCTGTTTTTCTGGGGCTGTCAACATCTCCTTAACTAAGTTTCAAATAAGTGCTTTCACTTTTATTACATCCTGATACTCTTGAAAGGAGACTGTCTAAACTCTGTATTGATTATTCACTCTTTTTAAAGGAACCAATAATATTTTAACTTCATTGCAGTTAAAAAAGGCGATAGAATTGCCCAGCTCATCTGTGAACGCATTTATTATCCTGAGCTAGAAGAAGTCGAAGTAAGTTGCCAAGAGAAAATATTTTTTATTTTCAATGAGTAATGGTTAAAGATATTTGTATATAAGATGAAATTGATGATATAGATAAATACTTTGCTAAAATTACTTTCAGTGTTATAACTGCATAGCAGCAGTGCTACCTGAATGAAAGTCTTGGTTCTTTGCTCACCCGTAGGTGGAATTTTTTTTTTTTTGGTGTGTAGTTTTCAGAGTTAACAGGTACTTGAGAAACACTTCAGTCTATACTAGAAGTGGTTGTCTCACAATGTGGCATTTGTTTAAACTTGTGCAGAAAGTATTCCCAAGTGTCTTATAAAACTTTTTTGGTTTTTCAGTCATAGCTCCTGTTGAATGTAAAATGTACCTTTTTCCATGTTAGACAATATCTGTTGTACAGAAACAAAAAGCGAGTAAAGGCACTAAACCAGCTTATCCTAATTGTTGTCTTTCAGGCTCTGGATGATACGGATCGTGGTGAAGGTGGCTTTGGTTCTACTGGGAAGAACTGAGAATTACTTGAATACGCTTTATATTTTTTTTTGTGTTACACTGTTTCTAAATTTTCATTTGAATTAGAAGTGGCATTTTAGGACTGCATAAAAACATTTCTAGTTTTATTGCAGCTTTTCTGTATCCTCCTGTCTATTTTTACAGGCAGTGAATTTGCATAATGGGGAAATGTGCATGACTGGCTTGGCTGAGCAGTTGATGTTTGATCCTCAACAATAAGAACATGTTGTTTATGTTTTGATTATACTCTAATAAATTAAGAAATAAGTTCATGATTTGGTTTTACTCACCTAAACTAAAAGGGCCAATTTTGCCAGTTTGCATTAATGTTCTGAAATCCATCTTCCATGTGGCTCAGGATTTCATACTGAGAGCCTGATTTCATACATTTCAATGTGACTTACCACTCTGACCCCTGAAAAAGGCAAAGATATTACTATTGCATCTTCTACAACCTGTCCAAATACTTGTGTTTCTGTTCAAAGCTGAAATTCTGACTTTGATCCTTAGCTGATCTTCAAGCAGCCAATTTTTCCACTCTCTTATATTAAGAGCAAACAATACAGTGTTTAAGCTAAATAACAACTTGTTTGGAAATGACTTCTGTAGAGTAAGTGCTATGAAATATGCTGTTGAAATATTTGTTGACAAATCTATAAATATGTTACTGTATGAATTATTGAAGCGGTGCACAAATTGTTTTTTTCAGTTCAGCTTTGTCCATTTAAGAGAGAACTCTTTTGGAATCTGTCCTGAACCTGATTCCATAAGTGTGGGAATCTCTTAAATGACTCAAAACGTTTTAGGTGAAAGAACAGGCACAGGAGAGCAGAAACAAAAAGGGAAAAAATAATGACTATTTTTCCACTTTACATAAGAATTAGAAAAGGGCTGTGAGGCTCTCAAACATTTTTTTCCTGTAGCTGTCAGTGTTCTTTTTAGATTTTCTTGGCTGAAAGGTCAAAGGTATGAAATACTGTGCTTTAAGTAGTGCTTCAGCAGCAGAAAGGTGGGGCTTTTGTAGACCTAAGATATTCATTCTTCTCCTTGGTAGTCTCTGATCAGAATAATCTTATTGGTATTAGTTTTATGTCCTTGTCTAGAACTAACCATTTGCAGTGAAATAGGCCCAAAACATTACACATTTTGTATATTTTATCCCATTTTCCCCACAATGAACTGCAAAATAAAGTGTAGTATGAAAGCATTCGAATTCCTTCAGCCATGGGATAATCATTACCTGGACTTGGCAGTGCTGAAACAATAAGTCCATTCATCCTTGTCTGGGGTAAAGTCTTTCCCTTCATGTGCATGATAAGCTTATTAGTCTTTGTTGTTGTTGCTGTTCCCTACCCCTCATCACAACGTGTCCTTGCATTTGTATACCCAGACCTTCCTGAGCTGGCTCACCAGGCCAAAGCGAGGAGCACATCACACCAGTGCAGCTTTAAATGTGTTGGAAAAGCTGAGCTTGACATTTAAGTTTCTTCCGTTCTGTTACTTGCCAAAAAGGACCTCCAATTACCAAAGGCTATTTCTAGGACTTAGAATAACTATGATTCCTTTGTGTAAAGCCGTTTGCTCTTGTCACACTGTAAGTCCAAGAGCAAGTTTTGCTGCTCTTTTTTGATTCCCACCTCCCAAAGCAAAAACCCAGCAGGGGTTTACGTTGAGGCAAGTCCTTTTTAGAAGATTCTACATGATGATCTTGCTTGGAACAGCAACCTACGAGGAAGAGGTTCAAGTTCTGTTGATAGTCATTATTTGTTGTGTCAGAAACTAATCTAATTTCCATTTTTAAAAATAATACTCCAGATTCTGAATAAGAAGGGATACTATTTGCTACAAAAAGCAGCTCCTGAGATACTGTCTCAGAACTATGAGGAACAAACATATTCATGCCTGCTGTAAGTTGTCAACTTAAAAACCAGTATCTAAGTGTTATTACCAAAAAAAGCTCACTTATTTTGAAAGTTAGTATAGTGGGATTTCTTTCCAGTGCTTCTCAGTACTTACCTGGAGAAGCATATAATGAGTTTTAGATTTCTGAGAGCTATTAGAAAAGTGTCCCTCAAATGAGAAATGGTTTCAAGCTCACTTCTACACTGACTCCTCCCTGTGCACCAAACCTTTGCACTGGGATAACAATCTGAGTCTTGAGGTTTTGCTTCCAGTGGAGCAGCAAATCTATAGAACACAAATCTAACCAGGCAACAAGAGTTACCAATGCAGTGAAAGTTCTTAAGTTGCTATTGCAGACCAAGGCCTTCACTGACACCTGTGGAATTGTACTGGTAGTGAATGGAGAATTCTTACAACAGCATTTGCTGCTTTCTGGTTCAAACCAAGCTCTACATCTCTTCACCCTTTTTTTATTTAATGTCCCACAATTTCATTATTACAAAAAGCACTACCCTCCAAGTTCTTTATTTTAATGTTCCCTTTTTCCTATAATATTATTTATGCTACAAAAGCATATTATCTTGGTATCTGGCAAACATACACAGGAGGCACAGAACAGTACCTGTCAACAGAAGGTAGTTTTTAACTTACCCTTGCTCTTGCTTATAAAACTCACCCTCTCACATGAGCAAGGGGAAGGAGACAGACTCACTCAACCTGATGACTGATGAGAGTTTTGAAGGAACACGTGATCCCTATACAATTTGTACTGCTTGAAATCTCACTTGTGGACAACAATCTTAAAAATTATGGCAGTGATCCTACTGATCTTTAGTCCTTTTCTTTCTCTCAGATTATTAACCTGGTCTTTAGTGGCATTTAAGCACTGCTTCCTCAGTTCAGCAATAGTTATGTTACTCTGTGGCACGTTAGGAATTTTTTTGACCTATTTCATGTTTTTTAGATCAGCCACTAGATGGCACTTAAAGTTTGCTTTCTTTTCCACTTTTTTCCAGAGGTATTTTTCAAAGATCTGTTCATCTATAATTAAGAGTTGATGACTCCCATTGGGACTATGTTGGCGGAAAGCAAGATGCAGCAATATTTGAGTGAAAGCAGGCAAAAGTATAACCGTTAAAGCGGGAACAATGACTATAATTTAAATAAGATTTGGGTGGTTGCGGTGTTTGCATAATCCCTCCTGGCATGCAAGAGCAGTAGAGAAGCCTGTGGCTTTGCTCTCCTGCTGCGTTTCAACAAAAATGGAAAATTGTAATGAACAGCAACATTTTTCCTATCTTTCATATTCACTCTCTTCTTACTCTCTCTTCCTCCATTCCTTTAAGTGGAATGCAGTCTTCTTAAGGATTGCATTGTGATGAAATTAATGTATAGCTTGGTAAACTCTGCACTGGATTTTCCAAATCAGATGCCTCTGTCTGCAAGTTCAGGATATAAATTAAAACTTACTTAGTATGTGTTAACCTAGTAAGGGCAGGTGACATATAGTATCCTGAATTATGTACATTTTTACTAAGGTTACCTACTTCTGTATTAATTGCTACTCCTGTAATAACAAAGTCTGGAGCTCTTGTGTTTGTCTTCCCCCCCTTCTAATTTTTTTTTTTTTTTAATAACTAACATTGTATTTTGGCTTAAAGATGGTTAAATAAGTTTTGGTAAGTAAACTTCTATGACCCTGCCTATTTCCTGTCCTGTCAAACCTTTCCTTGTAAGAATAACAGTGTCCTTTTATTTGGTGGAGTGTAGCATGATGTTTTTGGCAGGCTCAACATTTTTGACTTGCATAAATTTGTGACCTCAAGTGCAAGAAAAGTGAATGCTTGCTTCAGTGCCTCATGGTTTCTGCCTAAAAAGAAAAGTGTCCACATCGCTAACCATTACAATTTCTGAAGGAAAATTATCAGCACACTTATTCCATCTGAATGCACATGACTGCACTTCCAAAGAAAAGAACCAGAAATAAAAATAAGTATTTTGCACCTAGTTATGTAAGGTACCAAAAAGCCTGAAAATATAGGGCAGAGTGTACTGCCTTCCTGGTTTCTAGAATTGGCACACATGGCGCTTCCCTCACCAACAGCTATTTGGCAATCTCTGCCTCAGTAAGGATGTGATCCTGCAAAGTGTAAATTTGGGTCTGCTGCTGAGCACAGAATGTCACTGCATGGTTAAAGGTTGCAGGATCAGGTCTGAAGTGAATTTACGTAATTATTTTCCTAAACTTTCCCTGCATTAACTGTGGTTATTTAGCTCTTTACCACTGAAGTGATGCTTTTCCCCTACTCAGGACACAGCAAGAAAGCCTTTTACCCTGCCAAGTCTGAAAAACTGACAGATTAATGTTATATTGAGAGCCCTCATCCAGAAAGTAACTACTGGATATGAATATGTAAAGTATGTTTAAACAAACATACGTGAGCTGTATATGCCTACTTACTTTTTTCCCCTTAGATTTTGATGGGTTTTTTCATTACATCACGAAAATTTTATATTAATCTTTGGCTTCATAGAGAACATTTATATGGTAAATTTTGTAACAAATAAGAGGTTTGTATCAATATTGATTGTAGTCTTGAGCTGAAGGAAGTTATCTTTTATCTGCTATTGTTTATAGCAAAGGAATTAGTTTGCTTTCGTTTTGCAGGAGGAAAAAGAAAACACAAACAGTCATGAATGTAGCATCTTTGGCCAGATTCTTTTAACATGAGTATTTTGTGGTTTATGGATTCCTAGTCTGAAAGGTTGTCTCCAAGTGTCCAAGACAAAATAACTATGTGTCCTAGTTGGAAGGAAACGTCTTTCCTTTGCAGCTAAACTAACTGTGCCATGTCTAGGAAGCATGGCAGAGTATCCAGTGCTGCCTTGCTAAGACACCTCGGTCCTGACTGCAACCTCCCTGCCTGCCCAGCTTACACTCTGGTCACTGCCAAATTACAGGGACCCTTCCTTAGGGTGCAGGACAGCATCAAGGAATCCCCACTTGTCAGGTTTTCACAGCAGCAAACACAAAACACCAGTCTTGCTTTCCTACGCTCCCATTTCGCAGCTATTGCTGGCAGGGAGCCAAGCTGTCAGCGTTACAGGTAATTCAGGCCATTTAAATTCTGCAGGAGTTTATTGTTCATCCTATCTGTGGCTGTATCTTAGCAACATATGTGGGCTGAAGCAGTCAAAGAGAAGAAGGAGGTGTTTTGTTAGGGGATAAAGTAGGATATTTCATTGGTGTTCTTACCTTTCTTCTCAGCTTGCACTGAGGCATCAGTAATGTGAGAAAATTGAAAAAGGAGCTGTGACAATGACAGGAAATCATGCATCCAGCAACAGAGAACTCATTGCCCTCCCCAGATGT